AATCGTACAGGGAGGTAATGAGAGAGACTTCTAAAGCAAGAGTGTTTGAGGCGTGAAGCAGATGGCAGGTAATCAGTGATCTGAGCGTTTTGATGCTCTAGTTGCTTTTAATTCTGACAATTTTAAGTCACTTGCAAGTGAGCTACACTTGTCTTGTGACTTAATCTTCCTGGTCACGTTTGGACCAAATAACTTCAAATACAAGGGTGTTGTTTTGTGGTGAGTCTTGAAATCAATTTGAAAAGGTCACCTACCATTGTCTGTGTTCCTGCTGCTGTAGGGAGAAAAATAAGAACAGCATTAATGTCACAGCTGACAAAAATCTTCAACTGACTGTAATTCGGTGTACTGGTCAGCACTGCTGCCCCACAGCGCTGGGGACCTGGGTCCAGTCTGTGTGGAGTCTGTATGCTCTCCCCCATGTTTGCACGGGATAACTGGCCCTGGTGTGTGTTTGTTTCTGTGTGTGCCCTGCGATGGACTGGCGTCCCGTCCAGGATGTACCCTGCCTCGCGCCTGTTGCTTGCTGGGATAGATTCCAGTCCCATGTGACCCCTTATTGGATAAAGTAGTTAAAAAATGGATGGGATGCAGTAGATTCTGGTACAGTCAGTAAACTTGCTAAGATTGCAGATGATACAGAAAAAGGAGAATTAGCAAACGCCATATGAGCTGCACTGCCAGCTCACTCGTGAGAGGTAAAGGTCAAGTTCAAAGGTCACCTGTTCATCTGGTCAGAGGAGCCAACGTCATCGTAGAAGTCCTCGTCGATGACCGTGGGGCCGGGGGAAGACTCCAGCGTTTGGCTCCGGATTTTCCGCTTCACCTCCTCATAGTCCACGTCTACACATGTGTTGCTGATGTAACCGTCTTCGCCGGCGAGAAAAATAAAATGATCCAGGAGGGGCATTTAAAACGCATACGCCACTGGTGTAAGCTTGCACACGTTTCATTTTTTTCCTCCATCTTCCTGGGGGCCAGTTGCAGAGCCCCCAAAAGGTTACATGGTTTTCATATTCTGCTCTCTAGTTAAGGGGGAAAAACATTTTCATCCAAGAACAGCAACAGCACCTCGTTAATGTGGGGGAACTGGGGGGTGCCTGGCAGTGTGAGTGACCATGTACTGTACTGTTTCATCGCCTCCTGTCCCCCCCAAGATGAGGCTCCGCAAAGGAGACTGTGAAAGGATCTCCCAGCTCATGTCAGACCATGCTTTTCAATGTCTTAAAGCTCACTTTGATACTGTAGCTTCTGTGTTTAATTCACTGTTTTAATTTGTGGATACCTATCTTTTTGGTTTGGCTTTTGTATTGGGCAATGCTTTGCAATCATGAAAAACACTACATACAATAAGATATCATTGTTTCTTACGAATCAAGTGAGGAACTATTGTCTTATAGCCCAGCGAAGAGCAATCAGACACATTCCTGGGCTTAAGGGAATGTCCTACACAGACAGGCTGAAGGAAATGACCCCTCGTTGTCTTGAAAAGACAATATGGGACCTGAAACACGTGCACAAACTCCCTACGGTAACAGGACTCAACCTGGGTAAATCTGACTCATATTAAAAACCTTTCATGATGAAAATTTGGAGTTATGGATGGGGTACGCGGGAAACATAAAGAACAAGCAGTGCAGCAAGCTCTTTCTGTAGATCAACTCAGAAGAGCATTTAAAACTGACAAGAGGAAGCATTCTTCTGTACCCAAAGGGTAGTGGGAGTATGGAACAACCTAATCAGCCATGTTTTGCAAACCAATACCCTGACTCCTTTCACGAAATGACTGCTTGAGGTCCCCGAATTAATGAATGAACTAGTAAACGGGCTCGGCAGGTGGTCAGTAAGATTCCTCGTCCGCCGCGGTCACTCACAGGCGCCCTTCGGGGTGCGGGCCAGCCACTTGCCCTCCGGGTTGTTCTTGACGCGGATGATCTCGAGGCTGTCGCCCTGCCGCACACAGAGGTCGTTCTTGGTGCCGCGCCAGTCGTGCCGCGCCTTCGCCGCGTGGAGAACCTCGATCGGCCCCGTCAGCTGCAGCGGAGACAGGCGGGGTCAGGGGGGGGGGGGGGGGGGGGTTTGGGGGGGCTCGTGAGCGCCGGCCCCTGTGCCAGGGCCACTCCAGCTACCCGACAAGGCAGCTTTGGGGAGGCAGGGTGTTTGTTTTTTAATACTCAGTTATTAGTTGTGTCTTCAGGGACCTTTACAGGGTGACACACACCACAGGTAGCTGCAGACAGAGTAGGCAGGGACACAGACAATGTTTTGAATCTTCATCCCTTTTTGTTTTATGTTATTCTATCTTTGAACTCAAGAAACACTGGGTTGTTGCAGTAGGTCTTTCTTCCCTTTTCTACAACAATGAAAACCAAAAGTTCTGTTCCCTTTTTATCACCCCCAGGACACAGCTGCCATCACTGTAGAAAAACAAGATTTTTTTATCTTTCCTCAAGTGCACCATTCTAGGCTTCTTGTGCGAGACACTTCGTAGAGTTTGAGAAAATGACAATTAAGGCTAAGAAGTAGATGTAAAAAAATTATATTGCTTCTTATAAAACAAAAGGAAAGAAAAAGGTGATACTGGTTCCCTGCAGGGTCTATATTTCTTAAGCAGAAAAGGTATAAAAAAACTGACAAAATGTCTATAAATTTAGGTTGCTTTGACACCTGTGTCCTTGCTGCCCTCCATTGATCTTTTCCCCCACTCATACGGAGGGCTTGGGTGACACAGTGCACGCTTGTTACCATTGCTGTCTCACAGCCTGGGCTACCGTCTGTGTGGAGTTTTCATGTTCTCCCTGTGCTTGTATGGGTTTCCTCTGGGTGCTCTGGTTTCCTCCCGCAGTCCAAAGACATTTTAGCAGGTAAACTGTCTTCAGGGGAACATTGGCCCTGGCGTGAGTGTGTGCGTGCATCTGTGTTTGTATTTGTCTGCCCTGCGATGGACTGGTGTTCTGTCCAGGGTGTGCCCTGCCTCATGCCCGCTGCTTGCCAGGACAGGCTCCGGCTCCCCCGCAACCCTCCTTCGGAAGAAGCGGTCAGAAAGTGGATGAATAAGGGCTTGGGGCCCGCTGCAGATGAGCTCTCGGCCTACCTTGAATTTCTTTCTGATCTCACTCTCCTTTTTCTGCTTCTCTTTCATCTCCTTCCTGTCCAGCTCCTGCTGCCGCTTCAGCTCCTTCTGACGCTTCTTGTCGTTGTGGTGTCTGGGAGTGCTCTCGTGGCTGTGCGAAGACAGGGGGTTACCAACTCGCGCCAGTGGGGTCTCCAAGTCCTTCTAACTCCACTGCACAGAACGTGATCCCCCCCTCTCTGGGGTGAAAGGTCATAGGAGGCCATTTCTGCCTTGCCAATGGCTCCAGAACGCTTGGCGATGTGCTTATGCCTTCAGAGCAGGCCGACAGCCTGCGAATTACCCTGGACGGGAGTCTGGTATTTCAGAGAGAGATTTAACCTAGAGAGAAGCCCTGCATGTTCAACTTTACACTCGTAGATCTATCCAATCCCCACTCAGACCTCCCTCTACTCTAGAGAGTGCCAATGAAAATGATAAGTTTAGACTCAGTGAAGGCTCTATCGACAGTCTCTATTCTGACTGTTTTCCCTGTTTATGAGCTCAATAAAGGAGAAATTTCCAAAGTCACGCTTGAAGCAATGCCATGCAACGGTGGAACATGAATATCCCTGAAAATTGCTGAAATGGTCGACTTGATCATTGACATTCAGTAGTTTGGGTTAGATCCTAATAAATGCAAGAGAAGACGAACAAGTACTGTACAAAGCGTTTGGCGAGGCTTGCTGAGGTCAGGGAAAGTCAACCTATCCGAAGCATAAAACCCCTCTGTCTTGAGAGGATCAAGCTCAGGAGCTGCTGCAGGGTGACGTGGGGTGACAAGCGGGGTACTAGAGAGATGCACAACAGGAAGTCCCGGGCGCGAGAGTTATATATGTAGGCAAGCGGAAGCGTTCGAGATTAGGATCTAACCTTCCTCTCAACCTAGTCTAATTCCATTCCATTATGTGGAAGGTTTTTCATTTCTTTCCGAGGACAGTCTTCAGTCATACCACAATGGTCCATCGACCCTCCACCCCCCCAGGTCAGAACCATAGTAAAAACACTTTGTTGATCAAGGGAAAAATGTTAAAAATTAATTTGTTTCTGCGTGGTGTTTCAGCTCGTCTCTTGCACCTGTTGGGATTTGACCCCCATATCACCATCTCTTAGGGAGACAGGAGAATTCATGCAGGATGACATCACTGTAACTCAGATACTGAAGAGTCCAATTCCATATGTCCATGTGTGTTTATCCTTTGACACAAAATTAGACTTTCTGCAGTAGAAGCCATTTGTAAGTTCAATTACATTTCTCTTTTTATCTACCAGACAATGCATATTATCCATAGCTATTGTAGCAAAAAAGAGTGCATCCTCTAAAGGCATTGAGTTCTCAAAAGCCCATTATTTAATCAGAGATTCATGCATTATCTCTACCTATATAACATATACCATATCAGTTTATAATATATGGCAATGACAGCTAACCACAGCAAGTACAGTTAGGAAAAGGTGAACTTATATGCAAAATGACTGCTTATTTTGAAAATTTGAAATCACTTCTCATTTAATACAAAAACCTTGGAAATGGAAGCATTTATCAGGGCATTATTTATACGGTGCCCTCCACTGATCCAACCCTCAGTGCACCATATAGTTTAATACTGTACTCGTCTATAGTAACTAATAATCAAATGTCATTTTAGACCCTTGAGAGGGCCAGTGATGATGGGGAGGTGTTTTTGTTGATTTTTTAAATGCAAAATAAATCGCTTGACAAAAAAGGAAAAGGAAACACAGCCAAGAAAAGACGATATTAAGTGTTTGTACTTTACAAAAACACACATGGAGGAGTGTAAATTGCCACGATAGTTCCAGAGCTAACACTCACTATAGGAAAATAGATAAATTAAAGTGATCACAGAGCAGTCTTATTGCAGGGCCTCAAATCTGCATGTTAATAGTCTCAGAATCAAACAGAGAATTTATCATTTATTCTGGGGATTTCTACTGGCTATATAATCTCATTTTTTTTTATTTTCATATCCTTCATTTCTGACAAATGAAGGTTTCTGTTATCTCTCCTGAGGTCATAAGAAATGCAAATGGAGTATAGTACGGAAGGGGGGGACTAATTACTACTGCACAAAGACCTTAAACACAATTGTTGAGATATTTCTGGATTCCAGCTGTACTTTCTCTGTGTCATTTCCTCTCATTCACATGACAGAAACCATTCCATAACGTTTTTTCTTGAAAAAACAGTTCATTCCAAGCTGAATGCATCAAGTCCATGAAGAAATTTAATATCAGAAAAATGTATGTACTGTATAAAGTTCTTTGATGGAAAATAAATAATTTTAGGGTGCAATTTACTTGTAAAATTAGAGATTTGTTTTTAAAACCCACTTTTGCTATTCAAATCAGTAAAGCAAGTCTTTTTAAGCATATAATGGGTTTGGTGTTTGGTTTTCCAAGTGAAAATGAAAACAAGACAACTTACTTGTCAACCTGCTCATAAACTTCGCTGCCATCACTGTCCTGTAAGGGCAAAAAACAAGGCTTAGCATTACAGGAAACTGCACTCTCACGGTCAGTTCCAAAATTAGTTACTGGTCTGCGCTGAAAGATACAACAAGAACTAAGAGAAATACAGAGTTCAATTTCCTCAATTATTGCAGTTGCTGAAAAAAAAGACTAAGAAAAATGGACTGTGTATGTGAGGTAGCTTGCATCTTGGCTCAAAACACAGGCTTAGTATGTCCATCTGTTAATTGGAAAAACCTGGGGAATGAGACACAGCTGATCTGAATAAGTAATTAATACTCAGATGAAGTTAAATTCCACATCAGCGAAAGGAGCTGTGTATAATTGGTCACTCTTCTTGGCCAATTAAGAGATTTATAAGACCAGATAGAGGAGGGGAAAAAAGTATTTAGTTTGGGACTAGGCTTCAGCCAAGCAGAAGGTGATTGCTTCACTGGGGGGGGAGAATTCCCCTCTAATGAAAGGGTTTACAGGACCATAGGACTCTGTCAGGTAGGGATATTTGAGAAAACACAGCTTAGACTGTTCTGAGGGTGTCACAGGGTTGGGATAGGTGGGTTATGAGGCTGTTGGCAAGGCTCAATGGGAATGAAGTGCACTGCTGAAATAGGACTGTCTGGAGGTGTTGGGACCTGTGGGAGCTGGGCGCTGTGTGGCAAGGTAAGTGCACACTGCATCAGGGGTGCAAGTTCCTGTTTACAGATGAATCACTGGCCAAACAGGATTAGCCATGAAAGTTAGAGTTGGTTGATCATTGAAGACCAGGAATTGGGTGATGTGGAGGTAACCTGGTTGAATACTCCAGTGCCTGGTAATTCTGAAGCAACTTTTAGTTATAGTGGTGAATAGTGTTACAGAGTGAATTTAAATATAGAAAGATCTAGTGAGTTATGTCAGTTGGACCAGAGTGGGGAGAGACAAATAATAGCTGGGATCCCAAAAGGGGTCTGGAAGACATGTTTGCTGACATGACATGTTTGCTGTGTCAGTCTTGGGTTGATGTGGGTGGGTACTGTCTTTTTTTTTTTTTGTCAGTATTAAAAACAATCTGCTTCATTATGAGTTAACTTCTTGTTCTAATGATCTTTTGTGGCCTTCTTAAGAACATGCATGTAAAGTGTTTCTTGGTTCTCCGTAATCTTCCCTGATCTTCATTTTATTATACAATTAATTACAAGTCTTTAAGTTCTGTTCTTGTTCTTATTTTTTCTCGTTTTACCAAGTTGGGATATTTGCAAGTACACTTTTACCAATGTGAAAAGCACGATCTTGAGATAACCTCAAAGTCTGGTTTTCCTGAGAGAGCTTCTATTGCAGATAGAATCTTCACACCTCTAAATTGGCACTTGTAGAAGTACTTGCCAAAGAAGCAAAGGATGCTATTTTTGGCAAGACTTTCAAAGACATTTTAGGTGTAAATGTAACCATAAGCGCAGAGTCCCATTATTGTTTTTCCAACAATTAAAATATATACTGCATTGAGAGAGGCTTAAACCATTATATGAGCATTGATGTCCTTTACTGGTTAACAATGGGGAATAAATTGATTTATTGGGGAACAGTGTAAATTAGATTCTCTTGTTTGTTTAAGCAGAGGCAAAACACTGTGAATTGGTGCACATTAATAATGTTTGAAGCGACGATATTACCGTTTGCAGTCCTTAAGAACTCTGGTTTTCCCAGATGCCATCACTTGCAGATGGCGTGGGCAGGAACAGAACACAGTCTGTGTGAAAGCTTTGCTTTTACTGCTCTGTAACTGTCAGAAAATTTCCCAGCAAAGAATTCACAGAAGTCGGCTTTCATTACGAGGAATAAGATGTTCAGATGCATTAAGTAAAATACATTCAGGCATGCAAGCTGCTACTCCATCTTTTGAAATGCGCTGAGGATTGGGGTAGATAAGTGCACCGCTTTCTTTTAAAATGTTTTTTTTTTCCCCCAAGAGACTCTTACCTCGTCACCTTGAATGGAGCTGTGGTCGTTCAAGGAATCTGAAATGAGAGTATAACGTGTTTAGTTCATATAATTTGAGAAACGGCTAACAGACACATGGGTGGTGGGGTATTTATACTGTCTGCATTAACCGATACGTGATCCGACAGGTATCTTATTCAATTTAGTATCCCCTGGAGATCTGTATGCTACTCCGAAGTGCGCAGGCGCCATTAAATTTTTTCCTTTCTTGGGGGCGCATATTTAAATGGTTTCGATGAAACGCATATTTTCTCCTTCATGCATATAGCCTTTGTGCTTTCTTTTTGGGTCTTCCCTGTCTTGTGTAAAGCTCATTCTTGTTTTCATTCACCTGGTGGCGGTCAGAATTTCTACATTCATCCGCAGGACACGCTGCCAAGACGGAGAAACCGATCGATTTAAAAACACGCACAAACTACGGACTCCCTTTTCCATCCATCTCGTAATAAGCAAAGGAACAAACGCACACAAGCAGTCCCTGCCGTTATCATTAGTTATCGCGGAAGGTTTTGCGTTGCATTTCGAAGAACGATCGAGACATCGGCTTTAGCCAATTAATTTAGATTAATTTCATTGGTAAAACTAAGTAGCAAGCTATTTTTTTCTGACACATTTACAGATGTTAAAAATCTTAGAACAATGCCAGGCACTCTGTATTTTAAGCGGTTTTTTATTTTTACCTTAAAAGGAGTATCCGTTTCCTAACGTAATTCAGAGTTTTACCGGAAGTCGGGTTCCATTTTACCGGAAATGGTGGTTTTAATGAGTAATTGTGATCGGCAATTAATTACTTGTCCTTAATTACTTGGGTTATGAACTCGCACCTCTGTACTGGTGCATTGTAGCACTGTCTGTTTTCTCTACAATCGCATGATAACATTTCCCCGGTCTAAAAAAAACAAACAAACCATCTCTTAAATTTTACATCCTCATTACTGCCTTCTGCAAAAACGAGTTTCACTTACAATCTGCAAGAAAGTGAAAACGTGATGTCCCAAGTGAAGCGGCAAACAAACTCATCGGATCCACCACTTCGTACAAATTTAAAATACCGTTTCCTCGTGGAAATGATCTGATTTGAATCTACTTTCTGTATATGGTTCTGTGCTTTAAGTAAATGCTCCTTTTGAGCGCATTCATATTCTGTGAATCTCCAGCTGGCCACAGCAATGTGTACAACTTATTATTGAATCTATTGGCCATGTATTGCTTTGTATCCTATCCATACGTTTTATTTTCCAATTTAATGTGCACGTCACTACAATTTTCACGGGTGGAGCAACCAACACTTGTTTTAAGGACAAATATCGTTTTTTTTTTTCCCACGGAATAAACTCACTTCACATAAACGGGATTTTACTGAACCGCCACTTGATCAAACGCAAAAACCTCCAGGACAGGTTGATTATCTTAACCTAATATCTGGGCTCCCGGCCCCCTACTTATCACAGCTATTTGACCTCTTACCCTCTCTGAATTTGGGGGGAGGCGGAGGTGGGGGCGGGAGGATGTCCACGTCATCGTACGTGTCCTGTTCCTCTTCCTGCAGCCTGTGAAGAGAGTCGGAGGGGGGGCTGACGTCAGACATAGCGCCTTAATCAACATTGCTTGGAAACGGCTTTCACTATCCTTTTGCAGTGCTTCTGACCCAAAATGTTAAGCTAAGCCGGTTCTATAGGTTTAGTCTAAATAACCGAGTGAGAAGCCAAATCTTTAAATCCCCAGGTGAGATTCAATGCCCGACCTGTAGTCCCCGTTTTGTTTTTCTACTAATTCTGAAGCGTGTCGCCTGTTTAGCCAATGACTAGTGGAGCACATAGTGCACAGTCTGCCGGCTTCAAAGATGAAGGAAAACCCGTGGCATATTATAGCACGTTCAGATCTTTTTCGGTTTTATTTTCTCGGCCAGGAGACTTGAAACTGCAGCAGGTGTCTGCATGTTATGTTAGACACTTAAGGTAGCCATGAGAGAAGGTAAATTGTCCACTTGCCAGATGAACTTTAAGAATGCCAACAGGCCTTTTCGTTTTAAACGGTCTCCTTCAGCTGGGAGACTATAAGAGCAGAGAAGCTAAGCTGTATCAGTCGGTAAGACTACAGACCTCCCTCTGGTGTAAATACTTTCAATAGCTTTCTTTAGTAAAAATGTCCATGCTCATTCACAGATTAATGAAGGCAAAGTTTAAACGGCATTTCCCTACTGCTTGTACAAGTAACGGGGGGAGGAGAGAATTTAATTGGGGGAAAAATATGAATAGTCGCACACTGCAAGTTGCAACATCGGTTCTTTTTCATTTTCAGTAAAGAAGCAATCAAGGACGTTTCAGAAACTACCAGCTTGATTTGGTCACTTTTTAAAGTAATATCGGTTAGTAGCCTGAGGGAAGTTAAAGATGTACTCTGCAAGTCTGCCTTTAATGGGCAGATCTAGTAGCACCTACAGATGAGGGGGAGGGGATCCTTTTTGGTAAAATGACTTTTTCTAAATAAGTGCTGTCTAAGCCAAGTAATTAAGTGTGTTTTTTTCCCCCAATAAGTATGTTTCCCTTTTGTCCTTATTTAACAGCATCTGCAATGACGGCAGTCGAAGGTACCCAGGGATAGCTGGGATTTCAACAGGAAGTCTAATAGAAAAAGCACACTAGTACGCAGTGGCTGACATAACTGAGTCAAACCACACGGCAGCATGCCAAAACAAAGGAACAACAATTGCTTTCTGTTGGCAACCATCTCTGTGATGTGAGATGTTGCCTATGTTTTAGTTCATGAAAAAGCGTTTACGTGTCGGCACTGTGAGCTAATGAAGATCTTATCAGATTACCAACATCCTGCAACGGGATCGATGCACAAGACAATGATGCACTGCACTGCAAGTGTCGGAATCAAGCTGCAATGGTTCTGCTGAGTATCGCAAGTTAACAAAAAAAAAAAAATCAAAAGACCAAACGACCCATGCAGGCTCAATGCAATCTCCCGGCATCTATATATATATATCAACATGCATCCAGGGAACACAAATTCCATTGTTGAATCACAGATGAATTTTAGGTTCAATTTTCCCCCTTTTACTCTCCAAGGAGAGTTACTATTTGATTTTTAAAGATCACAATTTCGGCAAAGGTCGCCCCATGTCGGAAGCACTCTTACACTTTTAAAAATCTCTTGAACTCTTTTGCCCAAGACACCAAGTCCACAGTCTGCGAATGTCGTGGTCATCTGAGTATCTCAGATTTTGAAAGAAGCTGGAGATGACGGGTCTGTGTGATGTCTCAGTTGCTCCAGTGCATTGGCCAAGGCAGTAGCTGAAGCCAAAGTCTATGATCTGTTTTCAAGGCAAAGCTGGAGGAAGGCCAATTCACCTTCCATCCATTCTTTTTCTAACCAGTACTGGGTTGCGGGGGAAGCCAGGGCCTATCCCAGCAAGCAATGGGCACAAGGCAGGGTACCCCCTGGACAGGTTGCCAGTCCATTGCAGGGCACTTGTAGAAACATGCACACATCCCAGGGGCAATTTTCCCAGAAGCCAATTAGCCTACCAGCATGTCTTTGGACTGTGGGAGGAAACTAGCATCTGTAAGAAACCCATGCAAACATGGGGAGAACATACCAACTCCATGCAGATGGCACCCCAGGAATTGAACCCAGGGCCCCAGTATTGAGCGGCAGCAATGCTGACCATTGCATTACCTCAATTTCACCTTGTCTTGACATCCAATTACATGAAGCCACCCTACATAACCCTTCAGAATAATGGCCATGAATTCATAAGGATTCTGACTGGATATCCCAAGAAGACTGAATCAATATCCCAAACACTACTTTTGAGTTTTGAAGACATTCTTGAAAGAGATTAAGTTGATCAGGTAATGGTTATCTATAGTCTTAAACAATACGATTTGCCCCCACTGAGCCATGAACACACAACTCGCACTACAGCTTAAGCTTACAAACTAGAAAATAAACAGTCTATTTTATTAAATGTGAAAATGGTTTGTTGCTGCAACCCACTTGTTTCACTTTTTGTTTTCCGCTTGCTTATCAAAACATTGCTGCACCTACATTGCATATCTGGGAGCACTGTCACATGAGGTCAGACTAGACTAACCTCAGCCTTGTGGGCTCTGTTTCCTGATATTATCCACCAGTGTGGTTCACAACATCGGTGTCTCTTAAAGCTTTTGAGACCCTCAAAAAAAAAAGTAAAATCCCACTGAGTGCAATGGGGGAAAAAGAGGGTCTGATGTGATAAATTTGTGATCTTTGAGGGGGGGGGAACCAATAAATACCAAATACCAATGTCTTCAGTACTACATCTAAAACAATGTAGTTAACCAGGGGGGAAAACAGCAACATGATGTTGAGGTATGTTGTAAAATCTGAATGGTTGAATTACATAGTACATCGGTAAGATCTCATTTAGTAAACTGTATATAGATCTTTTGCCCATTTACAAAAGAGATTATACCGTTAATTACTGGCCTTAAAATAACTTCTTATACAAACAGGTTAAAGGAAATTAAGCTCTAGCTCAGAGGGGACTATAAAGAAACTTGCTAGAACTGTGGGGACAATGTCTTGACCAAATGTGAATCTAGGACCCAAGGAAATTGGGGATTTCCTTTATATTGCAGTTGGTGGGGATTTGGAATAAACCACCCTGCTGTGCTAGTGAAAAATCTCCCATGATCTTTAAAGACTCAGCACCAGAGTGTCCTCGAGCCATAATCTTCCAGCACCAAAGAAATCGGATGAGCTGAATGACCTGCTCTCATATGTAACCTTTCTCATGATTAGATTTTCTTACACACCAAATATGAACAGAGTAATTTTGAAGAGATTTTCAAGATCAACTTTTGTGAAAAGATCATGCCTCTTTTTATAGAAAAGCGGTGCTTTCAAAACTAGGTGCAGTGTATAAAACTGATACAGTGAAAATGCATATTGATCAGCTGTCACCATTTATGTCGGTTATGGAGAGCAGGCCAGTGTACAGAATGAAGCCCACAAAGCACCAGCCTCTGTTCCACAGCAATAGTCCTGTGTTTAAGAAAAATGGCAACAGACAAAGAAAAGAGCTGTGCCATTTCTCTTTATAGTGGAACTAGAGGAGAAGGAAGTGACAAGAGACGGTATCCAAAAAACAGAGGGACAGTTGTGAAGCACAGACGAACTAGACACCATTTACCCTGGCCACACATCACTGAGGGCTGTCGGTGCCCACTTCATCAGTGTACTCACGGGATGGACTGCTGATGGACCGAGGCACTGAGCTTCAGTGGGATTCGTGGTGGAGTTGTGGAAGAGGCCAAGCCCGGCAGGGGAGGGTTACCACCTGAACCAGATGTCAAAATGAAATAAGTTGAATTCTGCACATCCTTCAGCATTGTCAGTATCTCTGACAGACACCCCCTCCCCAAAGCTCAGCTTTACTAGAGGGCCTGGATACTGGGTAGCAACTAACTAGACTAAAAATAATCGGCCGTCGTTGTGTCATGTCTAAGACCATGAGTCTGATGTTCTTTTTTTGAAGGTGTGTGTCGGAAGTTTATTTCAGCTCAAATAAGAACGATCTGGTTTTGGGTGGGATGAGGGGTGCTGCAAACATAGCTTTTTCTAAAAACTGCAAGATTAATCTCAACCCAAAAATTAATTCTCATAACCGTAGTTATTGTGGTAAAAGTCGAAAGCAAGGTTTAAGATGGCCAGGAATTGGAGAACTTGGTATGTTACAGAACTGTTCTGGCAAGCATTACTGAGGACAGTGCTGATGGTAGTCCTCGTCTTTTATTGCTGATTAACTACTGTTCAAAATCAATTGTGTTCCTCATTATCTTCAAAAATAGAAAAGATGTATCCATTAACAAATGCATTTTGCATTATCGGTTTCGATTTGCAATAAAACTTGGGAAAACCCAATCAATTCTACTTGATTTACTTAAATTAGTCATGGTCTACGGAAAAACGGCCATTATCTTGCATAAACGTATTGATCCCCTTTTCAGAAACCACTCTTCCTTTGACTGAAACCCGAGAAAGCTGCTAAGGTTTTTTGCAACTAAATTAATTTCAAATGCGCACGTACAAAGAAAATGCACAAAAAATGATGTAGAAATTCCCCGTCTGGCACAGTCTGAAAGAATACTGGCAATTCTATAGCTGTCTATACAGCTGGGTAAGAGAGGTCCTAAAATGAATCCCAAAATACTGAAATAAAGGCCCTGGGTCTCATTTTCTACTCCTTTCCAACAACAGCCTCAAAGCAACAGCACCTATCTGCCAGCTGCGGGCTGACAATCTGAAACAGTCTGTAGTTGGTGTGGATGAACAGTGGATTAAAGACGTAAAGAAGCACAAACAAATACCGTTGCTCCTCCCGTACGGTGCTCTCGCAGGCGATGGACACGAGAGGCCCGTCTTCCTGAATGCCTCCAGGCTGACCGTGGGGGGGCGCTTGGGTTTGACCGGTCGGGGTCCCAGGGTCTTTTCGGAGGGCAGCGGCCGCCTCAGGGGGGCCGCGATCTCCGAGGCGCTCCTCTGGCTGCGCAGGGGCGGGGTGAGGGCGACGGGGGCGCGGGGGGGCTCCCTGGGCTCCTCCTGCGTCGCCTGCTGCTTGACCATGAAGTTCTGCCGCAGCTCCTCGGCCCGCGACCGCACCGGGCAGCCCTCGGGCGCCGGGGGCTCGGCCGGGGGCTTGGGCTCGGGGGCGAAAGGGCCCCTCCCGGGGGGGGGGCGAGGGAAGACGCCAGCCGGCGGGGTGGGCGCAGGGTCCTGCGCGCCCAAGGAGTTCCTGGGAAGGCGGGGAGCTGGCGCTATGCGGAGCTTCAGCGCTTCGTTCAAGGGCGAAGGGAAGACCGAGGGTCCTAGTCTTCCCACCACCGGTGGCTGCTGGGGCCTGGGGCCTCCCCCTGTGTCCGACATCTCGGCCTTGGCGTGAAACTTAGCCCTCAGGGCTTTGAAGTCCTCCTTTTCCTCCTGAGACGGACAAAGAGACACCCTGTAAGGAGCCGCGCACCTTGAGACAGCCCCAGGAAGGTGACAGAAGCAGGCAGCCTCCTCCCCTCCCCCGCCGGCCTCCTTCCACTCCCCCTACCTGCTCACCGCGCTGCATCTTGCCTTCAGCGTCGCACTAAAACCACCCACACAGACCGTACTGCCTCAGCATCCAGCTTCGGAGCACCCTCTTCAGGCCAGCTCAGTCACGCACTGGCTCTTTAAAGTGATGGCAGGAGAAAACTTTGTTTTTGCATTAAAGCCATGCAAAAATCCAAATACCGTTAACCTTAGTTAAATAGTAGGTTTATACGCTGTGACCTTTTCCCCCCTCTCCGTTATTTGATCTGTTAAAACGGACTTCAAGCACAAACGCTAGGTCCATTAACTCATGTGCTCTGGCCCCTGAAACCCAGTGCAGTGCAGTGCAGTGATCGCGCCGTCTACAGAAGACGGCGGCCGTAGCCTGCACTCCCCTCTTCTGAAGACAAGGACAAGTGTCATGAAGTGAGAATCCAACGTTCACAAGAGCCAAATATCTTTTTGCCACTTGTCACGTCCAGCTATCTGTGTTGCCTTGGAAGTAGTGAAAAACCACTGTGGGCAGCAGTGTACTCTCTGGCGCCAGTCCTTTAAGGAAGCTGGTACTGTATACACCAGCAATCCATATTCGGACAGCTGTATGCTCTAGCTCTGCTTCGCCCGTCGAAACTACCCTAGCCCCTGCCATCATGACTCCAGCAGAAACTCTCTTTCAGCTCAGAAATTTCAGCAATTGCTATACACTCCAGCTGAGAGCTGAATCTCAAGGGATGAAGGCTCCTCTAACTCTGTATGTGTGCTGGATGAGTGGCTGGGCTCAAGGCAAAGTCCTTATAGCTGGAAGATTTTTAGTAACGTAAGGTTTACCCCATAAACCCAGACCTTTTAGAGCCGTACTGTCAAACTAAGAACTATTCCTGTGAATAAATGTGACCCGCAACCATCCTGCCACAAACTGTATTCTATAGTTCTGAAGACGGGCTTCTAGGCAAAACTGGGTTAGCAGTCCAACCTGAACAATGCAGAAAAGCCACACTAGGGCAGGAAACGGTGCACAACCACACACCCCATCATGCACCTTTTGCACTTTTAACAATGGTAGTCAGGGCAACAAGAGAAGAGAGTCTCCAACACCCTATCAGACACATGCACAGGTTGCGGGAGCCTCTGTTCTCAGAAGCACAGGAAACGAAGGCTGTGCAAGTTAAAGCAGTGTTGCAAGTCACTGCAAAATGGTTGCTTAGTCAAAACCCACGTCTTTTGCATGACTAGACATAGGCCAATGCAAGAGGTGATGAAACCCAGGGTAGGGGCAGAGTATTTCAGGGAAGACACCTGACCCAGACTCAGACCTGCCTGTGCACAGGCGAGCACCTTTACTGGCTAATCCACTTCTGGGTAATTGGAACACCAGGTCATAATTGCAACCTGTAGTAAATTTAGCTTAGCCAAGGAAACAGCTGCAGAAGCCTAGGCCTGTTAAACAGCTTGTTTTTTAAAGGTGATTCTGTAAAGAGCAGGTTTTTAGCCTGTTCATAAACATCAACAAAAAGGTAAACCAATTACACAAGTCTTTTGCTAAAGACATTTTTCTTGTTGTACGTATAAGCATATTCAAAGTGTCTGTCTAGGAAGTCGTGTTACAGTTTTATTGGTCTAGTGCTAGAAAAGTCTGCTATGACAGTTTCCTAAATGGAAATGAATCCTGGATAGTATAGATCTAAAATTACAAGTACTTAGGTTTAGATTCATTGCTACCAGTACGTTCGTCCTCATTTTGTAAATCCTCTCACAAAATCAAGAACATATGAAAAGAGACCATTCAGCACAATTATCTTGTGTAGCTGCTAGTACTGTACATGTTTTATGCATCTATATTTCATCCAGGCTTTTCTGAGAAGAAACTAGGGTGTCAGCTGTTTGTGGCATAAAAAGTCTCGGAGTTTTAAATGCACTTCTCTGTAGATTCCACTTGTTTTGCTGTTGATCCCGAAGAAGTTCTACGTCTTGACTTTTTCCTTTGAGGAAGGAATACTTTTTAATAGTCAGATTGGGTGCGCTCTTAATCCTTTCACCTGTCAGAGCAGGACATTCTTTTAACCCTGGGGATGCATCTAGTCACTATTCACTGGATCGATTCTACAGCAGCAATATCATTTTTGTAAGATTGTCGCCTACGTTGCACACAGTATTTTGAATGATATTATTATTAGTGTGTTGTACAATTACATCACAAACTCCCTGATTCAAACTGTTCTTTTAACACTGACCTTCTTTAGTGCTTCCCCACATCATCTAGAAAATGGAGGCAATGCCTCAACAATTCCATAGATATTTACTTCAAATTCAGCATTTCTCCTCTATGAATCTGCTACCTGCGTGTGACATTCTGCATCTGGCAGATGTCTCCCCCATTTAAAATGTTTACTTGGTCCGTTTTAATTTCTCCTGCAGCTCATGAGCGTTTGCAGATTCTTCTATTTTGGTGTCATCTGTGGCCTTGGTACATTTTCTAACAATATCAAAGTCTGTTTCCTTCCTGGTCGTCACAATTGCAAATTTGATAGGCACTGTAAGATGGTAAATACAACACCTCACTTTGATCATCTTTGGAGCAAAGATATGAACAGCTTGAACTCTACAGCTGGAATCAATGATTTACCTGATAAGTATAGTATAATTAGAAATCAAAACAACATTTTCTGATCGGCTGGGCCTCAAGATCTATAGGGGTTTGTGAAATCAGCTGCTTTGTGTTCTTAACTGAACATAATAGTTCAAACACTTAGCTATATTTCTAGTTGAAGTCCTTTCTAAAAAAAAAAAATTATTCATCACTTATTTCTATGCGATATCTTTCCTATTTGAGATCAACAGTTTAGCTTTCTAATATGACCCCCCTTGCTCAGGCAGGAGACTGTAGATATGCTTCTCTGACATGCCCACCTGTGGAGCTGTTTGCCATTTGCATTGTTACCAGCATATTGTACTTTGCCCTGGTATTTCACCAGATGTTATATAACAGATAATACACTTTCAATGGCCCTTCATAGTTCCCCATTTATAGCAACAGTTATGCATGAGGTGCTTGGTAATTCACAGGCAATACTGCTGAAAGGTTGAATGACTTCCTTAATTGCTTCCGTTGTGAGTAAGTACTGTACACCTTCTTCACCATTCCAGTATAAGCAAAGCCAGCACTTTCCTTTAGATTCTAATGTAAATCACATTCCATGACAAAACCCCACAGCCCACATGCCAAGACCTAACAAAGCTCGTGACAAAAGCCGAAGAGGGGAAACAGACTTAGTGGGAATTCAAAAATAAGCTTTCAATGCTGTGTGACATCAGAGGCTCTGGGATTCAACCATGCCTTAATTACAGAGATCAGGGGCTGGAAAGAAAAAACCTCTTTGAGAAAAAACTTCCAACTTTCACACGACCTTCTTAATGGGGAAACAAAGCCATTTCCGTGAGATAAAGGCAAAATTAAAAGCCCTGCTCCAGACTGAATTGAAACTCTTACAAGGTTACCATATGTTCCAGCACTAGGGTGTATCGTGTGTTGACCAGTATTTTTCCATATATACAGTATACACACACTGTATATAACTTGTGAGCTATTGATTCATCCATCCCTTTTCTAACTGTTTCATCCAGTTCAGGGTTAGGGGGAAGCTGGAGCCTATCCCAGCAAGCAATGGGGACAGGAAACACACACACACAGTCTTCCCAGAAGCCACTTAACCTACCAGTAAGTCTTTGGACTGCAGTAGAAAACCGTAGTAGCTGGAGGAACATACAGACTCCACACAGACAGCAACCCAGGGCCCCTGAGCTGCAAGGCAATAATGCTGACCACTGTGAAACTTAAGGTCACGGAATCATTTTGGGGAAAACAGCACTACTAAAGCTCAGGTAACATCAAATTCACAGAGCAAAGTTAACCAAAGACCATCGTCACTGGCCCTAAGAAACCCAGAGTCAGATGCCTGATTGATTATCATCACCCTGTTGCACTCACATCGGTTATCATGAAGTGCTTCAAGCAGGGCGGTGGCTCTGTGGCTCAGGATCTGCGCCTGTGGCTGGAAGGTTGCCGGTTCAAATCTACAGGATCCTTCTCCGTTGGGCCCCTGAGCAACCTAAACCCTTAACCCTAACTGCTTCAGGAGCGCTCTGACCCCAGCCCTCTCTCCCTGTCTGTCTCATGGAGAGTGAGTTGGGGTCTGTGAAAAGACAAATTCCTAATGCAAGAAACTGTTTATGGCTAATAACGTGATTAAATAACGTGAGAAAAAAAATACCAGAATACTTCAGAGCAATAGAAGCGGAGAAATGAATGGAAATCTAATTTCATTTTCTTCAATGAAAAAGAAAAGGCGGAAAAACCTTGGCACACACACACGCTGAATAGGTAACACTTCGGTTCATACATTACTGACCCCCATAACGTTTTTCTTAAATGCATGTGGATTGTTTACGAAGGTTGCCAAAGTGAAAGCCTTTAATAAAGTACAAACATTACTGTTACCTGCTTCTCGATTTAAATAATGTAACCGTATGCACATTTTCATTGTCTTTGTAAGCCTGGGATAAAAGTCCGTCATAACAATCAATTTGTAGCCATAACAAATAAGATGTTTTTCCCCCCAATTCATTGGGTTTTACGTAACCATCCTGCCCCTGTTGTTGGTATGACTTTTCAGGTCCTTTCAAAACTTCACACCTCGTCTCTAGAATGAACGAGAACACTTCTGTACGAAAATAACTCTTAACAGTAACACTGTGTGTTGGTCCAAAAGTCCTCCTGTCTTTTTTTAACCTTCCTTATAGTCTAAAAGTGTAGCCCACAGCTTGCAAACAGTTTATTTAAGTCTTAAAGCCTATCAGGCTACTGCAAAGTGCTGTGGTGTGGTATTTAATCTTATCACAGTTTTAAGAGTGCTGTACTTCAGTCCGAAGCCAATAAAAGAAATTCGTTTCAAGCTAAAACATAAATTAGTACACTTCAAGCGCCCAAAATATGTTCATGCGTTTCCCCTTCACACGTTTTCGATTCAATGTGGATATCCTGAGTAGTGACGCAAAGCTTAGACAGTTCAAGACATGTTTTCTGCCCTGAATTGTGAAAACCTGCAGATACCAGTAACCCCTGATAACTGGTAGCTGTCAAGCTTTCGCCTCCATGCCCCTCACTCACACTCGGACCTAAAAAATAAACTTTCGGCAAACTTTCAGTAACAGCGTCGGATGGAAAAAATCATTCTTACCATCTGTGTCATAGAAGACTTAAATATCCGAAGAACTGATCCAAGCTCTAAATTCCCCCCCAATCAACTGCAGTTTCCCGATGTCATTGTCTCCGCGGCTGCCGCACTATGCAGTAGAAGTTCCTCTTTCTGATGAGGTGACCCCAATCGCCACATATGCACTGAGCATAAAGTGAACACCGTTTCAGGAAATGTCTGCCCTGCTATCTGATGTTCCCAGCGCAGGTCTCGAACATGTTTTTGTTTTCTGCGCTACCTTGTTACGTTTTGAGTCCGACGCTTAAAAATCCAGAGGGTACTTTTGCTCGCAGGACGGTAGAGTTTCGAAAGGCGAAATTATATTACTTTGAAATAATGACGCAGGTGGCCATTTCACATAAAAAGGTAAGAACATGGAGGTTCATAAACGGAATAGTACATGGCACATTTCCTTCTTTCAAGTTTGAAACAAACGATATACTGTACTTGGACCACGTTATTAAAAATAAACAACCTTTTCCCAATATAAATGTATGTAGCTTGCTTTCGTTTGATAAACACTTGTATCGGTATTTCCAATGGAGCCTGGACCTAGGTGAATGTCTTCCCTAACTACAGTATATGAAAAGCAATCACCTGTGAACCTAGGAATTACACTTTTTTTATCATGTAGATAGGTGGTGTGGCAGATAGCACTAGTACCTCACAATTCTTTGGTCCTGTGTCCAGTCCTGGGAAGGACGACCTTCCGTGTGGAGTTTGCGTGTTCTATTTGTACTCATGTGGTTTCGGCTGAGCCGTCCTCTCTCCTTTCTTGTTCCTAGTTGTGGACTAGGTTGGTTAGTGTGTTGCTGCTACCCTTCCCGGGAATAGGCAGCTTGCTGATAGGTGGATGGATGAGTAGAAGTCTATAATGACTCTGGACCTCATGGACCATGGAGAGAAAACCAGAAAATGTCAGGTACTCCAGGACTGGAGTTGGGCTGCAGCCCACCCATAGAAGCACCACCTAAACCACCACCACCAATGTCTTTTAATTCTATATTGTTGTTTTTCTCACAGGTGTCTTATCAAAGCTATCAGGAGCCATGGTCTTTGTGGGGCTGCAGTGACTAATCAACCATAATCTGTGCATTGCAGCAAAACTCAGAGAAGCAAGGATAAAGGTTTTGCCTGACTGATGGCATGACAAGGGGTATTAGACCAGTGTGCACAGACCAGAGTTCGTGATGGTTCAGCAGTGGGCATGAGCAACACATGCACATGTTTGCACATGTTTTGGGAGTCAAATGAAGAGAGAGAAAAGCACATTCAGAAAAGAGCAATTCAAGCAGAACATGTACAGTACAACACAGCAGGCAGAAAGTTCCAGAACAGAACAGATGATGCACACGCAGCCCTCCTCTTGAACTGCCTTAGCCTTGAAAGTTCAGGAGTAGGTCAAAGCCTAACCTCACCCACCTCCCTCTACCTGTGATCCAGTTCGCCTACTTGCACGTTATCTCACACCCTTCCCTGCACCCCGCCTTCGCTGCAGCTTCCTGGGGTGGGGGAGTTCCAGCAGCCTCATCCGAACAGTCGGATTATCTTTTGTTCATCCAGGTGAGCATTGCCTATAAATCAACCTCTTTTTAAATAACATCTCTCATGTCTTAATCGTGGAGTTTGCATATTCTCCCTGTGTTCAGGTGGGTTCCTTCCACAGTCCGAAGACATACCGTTAGGTTAACTGACTTTTGAGAAAACTGGCTCTGACGTGAGTGTGCACATGCTGTGTGTCCTACTATGGAATGGTGTCCCATCCAGGGTGTACCTTGGTTTGTGTCTGTTGCCTACTGAGATGGGCTCTGCAACACTGAGTTGGAATAAATGGTCTGTAAATGGGTGGATGTCTCAATCAAGGGACGAGCAAACTACTGAAATGGCAAAAGTGGTGAAGCACTTTCTTTGATTCATTGCATCGCAGACTGTAAATAAAAATGGACATGAAACATAAGGTTAAACTTTTTACGCTTGGGGGAAAATGCATGATGTAAAAGTCATTAGCAGTGGAAAGGCTGCTGCACTTGCAGATCGAGCAGGTCACTCGGCACGTAGGTAAGTGTGGAAGTCTTGTGAGTAAAAGTACGAGTTGCACTTGTGGTCATTCTGTTAACCCAGGTTTGCCTTATGTGCAAACACTGATATACATTTTATCTCAGGTTTCGGTCCTGCTTTTAGAACAGAAAGCATAATTCTCTGACCGCACCACCTGGGCTATAAAAAAAAATCTTAGTTTTGTGCTTTTTGTAACATCTTAAAGCACATTTTAACATCTCGTGCCACATTCATGAAACTTTAACTTCATCACACCTTGTTTAAAAAAACAACCTTTTAATTTTTAAATTAAAGAAGATTTACATTTAGTCCTGAATTATATACAAGTATGCTATCTGCTTTCATTATCTCTTTTTAAAAACCTTTAGAAATATGGCACTATAAGGAAGCTTTACAGTAAAGACCCATATTAAGGAGAAAAGTGACAGTACAAAAGACACACCTGTTCTAATTGGTTAATTGGTGTAGGGGAGTGGCCAGTTCCATTCAGAGCCTATCAGTGTGCTCCTTTCTTCATGTGGAATCTCATTCCCATTGAATGCCAATTAACTAATTAAGACCAGGCTTGTCTTGTTTTTACTGTGGCGTTTCTCCCTAATGTTTTTTTTTTTTCTGTAAAGCTACGTTTTACTGCCTCACAGGCCCTTAATCCAACTCAACAGCATATTCTCTTTTGATAGAATTCTAGCTATAACAAATGAACAGATATATTAGTTTGCATTGTTCCCTTTTATTTCAGCCTGAATACTGTTCACCACACCTGCACCCTAGCAATGCTCACACAAAATCTTTAAGATTTACCAGAGAAAAAGATGAACCGACATACTGTATACAGCTTTAAAACTGAAACCACTGATTACAGCACGTGTTAATACTGAACAATTACACATGGAACAGGGTAAATGCATATACTGTATCGATACCTTTTTCTACAAAGGGAGAAAAACGCATCACACTGGATTTTTATTCTGTTTATAGGCATTTTTTGACATTGTTGTTTCTTGAAAAATCGCATGTCAATAAGTCATATCTGTCATCGTACTAGTAAGCGGTTTCCTATATTTAACAAAACAATGGGCTAAGGCACAAAGCTGTTTCTAAAAGCAAAGGTTGATGGAGCTTGATGTTCGTGGATAACCACTCACATCGACACGGTCTTCTGCAGACTGAACCGGCTCTGCATGCACCTCTGCAAAGAGCTGTAGAAAAATCCCGAAGCGCAAAACCGCACGTTTTCATTTTCTTCAGCTAAAAAAAACACCACATTCCTTCAAAGGCTGCTTGAAAGACTCCTACACAGCATTTCATATCAAAGAAAGCCTAGTAACAGAGAAATTGTCGTTAGTGCTATTAGAAGAAATGGAGCGTGAGTGATTGTTCTGGGAAATGTCTTGGGGAGGGATTTTTCTTGAGGTCTGTGAGTTAAAATGTGACATCCCAAGCTTCTTAGTTTTCTTACTTTTTATGGAAACCCGATCGCTAATCCCATGTTTAAAGCATGATCTGGAAATGAAAGAGCTACCCGCTCTGGTCCCGTCTTTCTTTCAAAAGCATTGGATTTCAGAGGTGCTGTCGGTCTGCCTCTGCTGGAGGGCAAGGGCAAACGGAAGCACAGGTTCGAAAAAACAGTGAAAAGGGGCACAGAAAGAGAGAGACGGCATCTTTAAAAGGGTGTTTATTCCTCTGGCTGCACGGCAAACAAGGTCAGGTTGGGTGGCTGTCAACGAGGGCGGAGAACGCCATCTGTAAAAGATCAAAATAAAAATCAACAGCCGATTCAGGCCGGGACTTGATTCAGCTCACTGGCCATTCGCAGATTACAAAACCAGTCCCCGATGGCACAACCATTATGATGGAGCCTTGACAGAACAAGGCCTTAATCATTTCACAAGTTTCTCCCTTGGTTGCTAGATCAAGTAAATAATCCTAATAAATCTTTACACTTCTGTAGTCCTTTTCTGGACTCTCCACTGAAATTGATTCACAGTAATGGGGACTGCCCTCCACCACCACCCCCCATGTGCAGCTGGACCTGGATGATCTGACAGCAGCCAGAGTGCACCCGTACACTCAGCCCACACCAGCTCTGTGGAGAGGAGAGCAGAGTGATGAAGCCAGTTCATGTATGGGGATTATTATGTCCTGTTTATTTACTACTTTTTCTAATTTTTGCATGAAAGAAGAGAAGTTCTTAGAGCTTTTAGATTTAAGGAGTTGTAAACATGGGCTCAAAGTTTTGATTTTATCAAGACCTCCATTAGCTTTATATAAAGCTTTCTGTTTAGCAAATAATACACCATGTAAGTATGGCTATTTCTGCATTTTGTGCTCAAAGAAATGCAAAGTGTTCAGCGGAGCTCATGAGGAGACATTTACTGAACTTCCAGATCCAATTTCCATTCCCATGCTTATTCAATCTTATCAAAACAAAGACCTGTAACTATTTTAACACTGGTTTTATCCTGTTATGTGACAGAGTACTGTAAGAAACAAAATGCGTTCAAGAAAGTGGTCTGCTTTTTTTGAAGGTTAATGGTTCTTTAGTTAAATCTTGCTTACTTTTTAACTGCAAAATTAAAACTAAAAAAATCAATTTCAGACTAAATTACAGTAAACAAACATTACAAAGCATTTAGGTTTCCATATGGGTTGCCAAAACGGAACCTCGTGTGTCAAAGACTATGCACAGAATCCAGAAGTTAATAACTGCATGACCCCATCTGTTCAGTGTTATAAATTCCAAGGAACAAATGAGCTTGAGCTGTTTCTTCAACAGAATAATAAAAGAATCATTAGCTTTATAACACAATCCCCCTATACCTGTATAGATTTCGGCCAAGAAAACTGCATAGCCTGGGATGTTTTGACAGCAGTTTGTATTTAAAAATGCAAAACTGGCCTAAGACGTTTGTAATTCGAGCTTTAAATCAATCTTCTTGCATTCAAAAGGCGTCTGCATTATAATAAAACAATATTTTGAGTGTCATTCACTTGTCTAGGTTCTCTCCTCAGAATCTGGGACTGGGAGCCTTCTGTGACTTCTCAAAATTGTTGCATTTCAAAAAACCGGCAGGGGAGTCTCTAGTATCATTGCAACAGCTCCCCCGTGTGGCTGGACAGGGGCAGCACC